ATGACTTCAGCTCTTGGTCGGCCTATAAATAAATAAATACATATATCTGGGAATAACCAATGATGACGTGACGAGAGGTGGGGACGAGAACAACGACAGGGATGAATCAAGAAGGTTATAAAAAAGTTAAGACGAGTTAAGTTGAAGTGTTAATCTGAAAGTTTAAAAAGAGTAGTCACGCTTTTTCTTCCAAAGCCAACAAATTGGGGGCCGCTCTAAAGAAAAACATTTTGCTGACTGAGTATCCAGTGAAGATGAACGACGCCTTCGAATTAGATGTATATACCGCGGAACACCTCAGAGTGCTTCTCCGACAACGTGGCCTAACCATTACCGGTAAGAGATCAAGTTTAATTCAACGAATAATTAAGGTTTTTTATTTCAACTAAAAAACCTTAATTAATTGTAATATATTAATTGGTCAAGCGGACCACGAAATTAGTGAATTTAATTAAACGTTTAAAATTAAATTTTAAAAAAAGAACGAAATGCAGGAAACATGACACGTGTTAATGATGTGTCCGATTTTCATTACTTCGACTCAGAACGTAATCAAAATAATAACCCCCCGAATGTGACAAAACCAGAAAAAAAAACGACTTCATAACATTTCGAGACATCGAGGATTCGGTGAAACCCTTTGCTGGTCAAGACACGGTCTTGGATTACCGAATATGAAGAAATTGCGGAAATATGTAATTTAACCTATCGACAAAAACTTGTTGGCTAAACGTATGTTGATGGGTTCAGCGAAACTTTTTGTTAGGAGGGGTGTGGTACCGATTGGAAAAGACTAAAAAATTCACTATTAAAAGAATTTTCACCGGAATTTAATTCGAAAGCCGTACACCAGAAGTTGGCCCAGACGAAACCCGGACCTAACGAAACTTTATTAGAATATTGCTATAAAATGCTGGACATTTCTAATTCTCTTTCTAGAGAATATACCAGACAAACCGGAAAATAAATCTATTTTGTTTAGAGCCATAGATGGTAAAGATTTTCGTCAAAAACTAAAAATGTACGAAAATATGAAGAAGCTCAAAAAACCCAATTTATTTGGAAAGACGCAACACAGGGAAATGCCAAGTAAACCAGTCCAGCCGTATTCAACTAAACGTTGTTTTAATTGCAGGGAATTTAATCACGAATCAGCGAATTGCCATTTTCATGAAAAAGGACCAAAATGCTTCAGATGTGGCAAATTTGGGCATAAAAAGCAAAGAATGCAACTTTCCTGATAAGAACGACAAAATGGTCAATTTTGAGACGACCACTGAAATCAGCCATATTGGTTTCCATAGTTACCAACCCAGGACTAGCTTTTTGCCGCGCAAACCCGAGTCGCGTAGTTTCACCCCTCCTTCGACTGCACTGGACAACGACGGAAAGTCTATTCCGACGACGGATCAACTTCAAACAAGCCATGCCGACAATTTAAAAGTATCGACTCGCCTTCCATCAAATCCTGTTCTCACTCCAGTTAAAATTCAAAATATCGTGTTCACGGGCTTTTTGGATTGTGGTGCTGATCTTAATTTAATTCGTCAATCTTGTTTTCGACTGCTAAAAATCGATTCTTTAAACGGAAAAATTTTATTTACAGGTATTGGAAAGCACGAATTTTCTACTAAAGGATGGTTTTCAGAAAGTGCTATTATCGCCAATGATAATTATGATTTAGAATTTCATTGACGACGAGTTTATCGATCATGATATTATTTTATCTAGATTATTTATTCACCATGTAGAAATACTTTTACGAAATTCTCAAATAATTTCCGTAAAACGCACACCTTTTTTACCGAAAATCTTTTAAATAAATCAGTGTGATATACATGATATAGATGATGTTGGTTTACCAGATCCACCGATTCCGTAACCCAATTGAAGACTAATTACCAACCCAGCATTGACGAAATTTTCAAATGTGAAACTTAAAATTTGCTTGTCTGATGATGTACCAAATCGACAGTCTCCTCGACGACTGGCATCGGCGGAGAAGAAAATCGTAGACAGCCAGTTAGAAGAATGGATACAGGATGGTATACAACCTTCACAGTAGGAATACGCCTGCCTGGTAGTAGTCGTTAAAATAGTTAAGACGAGTTAAGTCGAAGTGTTAATGTGAAAATAAAAATAAGTTCACTAATTTCGTGGTCCGCTTGACCAACATTACAATTAATTAAGGATTTTAGTTGAGATGAAAAAAAGTTAATGGCACGAGCGGGATTCGAACCCACGATCTTCGGCTAGATACGCCGCTGCTCTACCACTTGAGCTATCGTGACCTCGATCCACTCGGACACAAAATGGCAAAAAGGAGGGAAAACTCATAAGGTGGGGTTGAGTTGGGAAGTTTGTGTCCGAGTGGATCGAGGTCACGATAGCTCAAGTGGTAGAGCAGCGGCGTATCTAGCCGAAGATCGTGGGTTCGAATCCCGCTTGTGCCATTAACTTTTTTTCATCTCAACTATAATCCTTAATTAATTGTAATAAAAATAAGTTTAAAAAGAGTAGTCACAGTGTTTTCTTCCAAAGCTTGCATATATATATTTATTAAGTTACTTTTTGAGATGTGCGAGATGGTGAACCTGTACGTTGGTCTTCTTCGATTTACTGGCCAGTATAGGCTCGCTGTCACTAATGTAATTAATACACACAAAGGAAACACAGAAAACGGCAAGAATTCGATACTGGTGGTCGAAAACAACGAGAATAGACGGACCAAAATGGTCAGGAATGTAAATTCCAGATTTATTACCCCTTAGATCCCTAAGAAAAAACTTCGGGACAAAATTGTAGATAGTGAAGGGTAGGAACAAACTGATACACTTTTTGCCGATACATGGGCACAACGAATCACTGCGAAAGAAGCTGAAAATCAAACATAAAGTAAGCCCAAAGGTAATTTTAATCTTTAAGAGTGGACCGCTCCCTCATCCAATTTTTATCTGATTGTGAATACACTAGACACGCAATTAGTGTAAAATTGAATACGTATGAGAAAGGAGGAGGCTCAGTAAATAACGACGGATTTTAGGGGGAGAGGAAATTCTCGTTGGAGGACCTTCTAATGAAGGGGTCGCGTGGACGTCCAGGCAGGCGTACCTTCGGGGGCCGCCCCCTACTAAGTTCCTAGCAAGTACCTCTAGCCGAATTAATACCCGCTCCGGTCGTCCGATCAATAAAAGATAACAACTTCCATTTGACTTCAATGTTCCTGGGAGAGGGGTGATCAATTCGCCCCAGCATTTGAGGTAATTTCAATTCACTTATACTGATATGATTTTGCTCAGGGCGTCTGGGGATAATGTTGACGTGACTTGAGAGGTTTTAGCAATTACGTAACATTTTATTTGTTTCAATCTTCATTTGTCTTCTTGGCCATCTTGCTCCATTGAAAGTTGCCTCTTTCGTTTTCTACCAATAACTTTTCCTAAAAAAGAAATTGTAAATGACTTGTACGTACAGTACACACTTTTATTTAAAATTTTGTTTATTGTTGGTTGTATGGGGCATGAAAATTCCGAAACCTGTTTATATCATGGAATATGAGCAAATAAAAAAAACTGATTTCTCTTACAACCAGGTAAAGTCGATTCGACTGCCCTCAAAAATCACTCTATTCTCCATCCTGCCCTACCAAAAGCTATGATTTTCGATTTATTTTAATTTATTGAGTGGTTATGAAAGCAGTAATTAAAAAATTTTAATAAGTATCAATGCTCATTTGCAAAGCGGATAGATCAATTTAAACGTCGCTTCGGAAGGAAAACAACAAGAGGCTAAGGATGCAACCCTGCCCTGCGCCAAGTTTAGATGGTGTGAAAAGGACGGCTAGACAATTGTAGACGAGAAGCGCCAAGGTTTTTGCAGGCTTCAGAAGAAGCGTTTGATCGACTATGTCAAATGCCGACAAAGAACGCATTTTTTCTCCTTTTGATCTCCAAGTTGATAATATTCATGGGCTAGAAGACACGATCAACAGTCGAGTTGTATATTTTTGGACAAAATCTTCCATGAGGGATGTCACACTGTGAAGATGTTGGGGTCGGTAGGGACGCCCTTCTTGAACAGGGGGAAAATGGTCGTCTTTCCAAAAGAGGGTCGAATCTCTCTTTGAGCAGAAATGCACTGAGCTGAAGTTCATACGCTTATTCTGTCTGACCCGGGGCTTTTTTTTAAATCAAGTTTGATAAAACATAGGTTCCTCGAAAAAGGACCTTCTGGTTCCTCTACGAGACAAGAGAAATGGGGTTAAGAAGATAGAAAAATAACCGAGAGTATTTTATAAATTGAATTCATTAAATTAATTTTATAAGGTCTCTTTTCTTTCTTAAACAAATCTCAAATTTAACAATAAAAATGTTTTTCCCTTGTAGATAGACATAAATTGTCTGACTGTTTTTGTTTTGTATATATGCTTGAAAATGTATACTCTTCTTCTAAATAAAGTGCTTTTCTCATTTAACTCGACACTTAAATACCAACATCTCTGAGTGTCTGCATGGGGGTTAATTTTTCTTATATATTTATACGAGGGTATTTCAACTACGGGATTATACGAACGTTCGGAGCGCCGGTTTTTTTTTTGTCCATTTTTAAGTATGTCGGATTCCAACTCAGGGCAGCTGGTTTCGAACCCGGGACACTACGAGGTTATTCGAACGTTCGGAGTGCCGGTTTTTTTTTTCCCACGGCCGCTGGATTCGAACCCGGGACCTTTACCTTACAGTGATGAGCGTCGTGTCAACGCCTTAACCGTTGAGGCCACCGATCCCACCTATTATTATATTAACACATTTTACAAAATCCTACTTGCTAATACAAATAGCTGTGTATCTAGAAAATCGAAAATTTCCATTCTTGGTTTATGCCTGGACAAATCGTTTCCCGTTTTTTTTTTTTTAATATTTTAAATCTGGAATGTTTATTTTTGGAAATGTTCGCCCATTTTTTTCATAAAAAAATATTTCATTGAGACGATTTTGTTGCAGTATCGAGGCTAATGGGTTCGGGAGGCGGAGGAACGGTGAACATGGGCAACATGACCGCTCTGAGCCAGTGTTCCGTCGTCGGTGATTCTAAACCAATGCAGTTTCCACTGACACAAAGGAGAAAAAGGCGAGTCCTCTTCACACAAGCACAGGTAATCCAAATATTTGAGACGACCCCTTTCCGCGAAACGGAGGGGGCTTTCGGCCAGCAAATACAGATCAATACAGCTACCGTTTCCCGTTTAATTTCATTTACCAATTCCCACGTGCGATCGCCGTTTTCGATTTCCACGGCGTACTCGAATCTCCTGGAAACAAAGAAATAAGAAAACTGTTTTTCCAGGTGTACGAGTTGGAAAGGAGATTCAAACAACAGAAATACCTTTCTGCCCCCGAGCGGGAGCACCTGGCGAGCCTGATACACCTCACCCCCACACAGGTAAGCTGCTCTCGTCCCCCAGTACTCGGAGCTAGTTATTAAGAAAATCGGACGTCCGTCCCCCTCTTGGGGGATTAAACCCTAAATACGATCCCGTCCGTGTTATTAATTTCGACACATGCACACAGTTTGCCGTAATCAATAACATGTAAAGCGTTTAATTGACGTTTTAGCTCAGGGCCCTTTCTAGGGGTGACTCGATGATGAATACAACGCCCTCACGGATTAAGGACCCGTCTCGTTTAATTTATATAGTTGTCGCCACAAAACGAAATATTTAACACAATCCTGATGACTGTTCGCATTTATAAAACAAAATTTTCTTCACAACTTTCGACATGAAATACTTGATACGTAAAAACCTACTTATTTTATTTATTTAGAGATCGTGAGATGCGGTCTGGTGTGATGTAGGTTTCAGAAAAACATTCTCTTTATCGTGCCAACGTTTCGATCTTTATTGATATCATAACCAGATCGTAAATCCCAGGCCCTGAAGATGATCTCAATAAAGATCAAAACGTTGGGACGATAAAGAAAATGTTTTTCTAAAACCTACGTCACACCAGACCGCATCTCACGATCTCCGAATAATCATTGACTAACGGTCACTAAACACCACACACACTGCTCATAGAGTACATTCATACATCATTTCTCGCAATCCACCGACAATTCCAGCTCTTGTAATTTACAATAAATTACCGGCAATCCGTCCAGCCGCAGAGGTTAGGCTCCAATGGCTGTGAACAAAGTCATTTCGGCCCCAAACGCAACCAGTTCCTAAATCCAAACGACTCACGCTCTCTCATTCTTAAGTACATTTTTTCTCATTTACATACCATTCACTCAGTTAGAGTGGTGGAATACTCAACAATCATCCATCACCGATTTCTTCTATTATAAACTAACCTAATGATGATAGGGTACTCAGTATTACGCAATCGACCCTTCCACAATGCACATTCACGCTAATAAATACATTCATTTTCAACACATGTTAGGGAGACAAAACTGTAAGTGTTAAATACGGTAAACAACCCTTTATCCTTCAAGAATCAGAACAAGGAGCCGGATAATCGCTGTCGTGCTCGAGCACAGTATTCTCTGGTAGCATTCCCACGTGCTCTATATATGCAGCTAAGGAATCGCACCCTTCAATCTGGTGGGACACATCGAGCAACCTTTTTCTGCAGTCGGACACATGAGTGGGCTTTGGCCCAAAAGTGCCGTTTCTCATTTACATACCATCTACTCAGTTAGGGTGGTGGAATACACAAAATCCATCCATCACCGATTTGAAGTACAGTAGCTGTTTATACATGTATCCGTGTGTCAACCTCGCATGGCCTACCCTTAATCGTGTAAATAACTAATACGTTAAATATTCTGCCTATTGTCAGTTTTAACTTTTGATCGCTATTGAATTTCAAAAGTTTAGCTTTTTTAAACAAACAATGCAGTAGAAAAGTCATATTCTGCCTTTCTTCGCTGTTTCTGTCTGACAAGTTTTTTTTGCCGATTTCCAAGCTTCTCTGATCAGTTTGTAAGAGGAAATTCAACTGCTGAATGCTAAGAAAATTCTGTTATATTACAATTAATTAAGGTTTTTAGTTGAGATAAAAAAGTCACTGGCACGAGCGGGATTCGAACCCAAGATCTTCGGCTAGATACGCCGCTGCTCTACCACTTGAGCTATCGTGACCTCGATCCACTCGGACACCAACTTCCCATCTCAACCGCACCTTTTGAGTTTTCCCTCCTTCTGTTATATGTTTATATAATATATATTCTAATTAAAAAAACAGACTAAAATGATTGGTAACAAGCAATCTGCATGTCCACAATCAATTTTTGGAAAACGTGACATAATTATTTGGAGATCGTGAGATGCGGTCTGGTGTGATGTAGGTTTCAGAAAAACATTCTCTTTATCGTGCCAACGTTTCGATCTCAATAAAGATCGAAACGTTGGCACGATAAAAAAAAATGTTTTTCTAAAACCTACGTCACACCAGACCGCATCTCACTATCTCCAATAAATCATTGGCTAACGGTCACTGAACACCTCACAAAAATGTGACATATCTTCAAAATTTATGTGACAGTTGAGGAGAAAAGACAGTAGTGCAAATAAGACTCAGCCGATATGATCATTTGTAAACGCTTGGCCAAATGTCACGAATTTATATTTGTACCGATTAAAGTCGGATTAGACGCTTTGAAGGAATAATTGCATATCTGTCAACCGGGTGGAAAAGGGGCCACGTGCCGCCGCCCGCCGGTAGCTTCGATAATATAACTATACATTTATGAGTATAATTAAACACTATTGGATATGTATGGGAGGGTAAAAGATTTCATTACCCGTTGTTTGTGCTGAGGCTAGTGTTTACCTTTCTCCGCCTCTCTCAATATTTGCTTCAAGAGCAGCATCTACCAAATTACATCCCTCTCCCTGAGTAGGGCCAATTTTAGGGCCGGGCGTTTATTGCGTTCCTCTGTTTATTTTTATGAACTCTCTTTCTCAATCTCTCTTTCTCTTTCTCTTACTCGCGAAAGACTCCCCCTTTTCTCAGGAGGGATGGAACGTCAAACTAGGGGTAAATTTGAGTAATGAAATATAAACCGTGACCCCGAACCGCCCCCATCGTGTTTAACGCCAATGAATAACTCTTTAAGCCGAGATTAATATCTGATTAGCTTCAGGACAAACAAAGCTTACGCCTCCTCTTTCCGCAAACATAAGGAACCCTCGACCAGTACACATCCCATCAACAAAGAACAATCACTGCTTCACCCGACAATTTGTTACAGCGCCTTAATATAACAATACCAAATTAACAGTCATAACATTTCTTTAATAACGAATAGCTTAGCAGACATCCTTGAAATCGTCTTCAGTATGCTACCAGGCAGCTCTTTTACTGAGAAAGAGTCCACAATAATAGGTCAATAAGTAAGCTTTTATCTCTTTGTTTTCTACTTCGAAACTTTCTACTTTGCTCGATACTATAGCTCGTATTTGTGTTAAGTCACTTTTGGAGAAAGCCTCCCTTTTGTTTTTCGCCCCTAAGAGAAAGTATATTGTTTATGCACAATACGAAGATAATTCAACCCCTGATCTACTGACAAACTATTGAAAACATCCCTCACTGTTTGGACCAGAACCGAAATCCACACAAACCTAAGTATGACAAAAGCGGAACCATTGGATAAATTCATGAGGTACAAAACAGTCGAAACTATTATTACTATCAACTAGGAAAACATAAATTCTTTCTCAACAAGCAGAATTTTTTTTTAAATAAGAAGCTTTTTTATTGGCAATTGCCCATTTGATTACCACCTTAAAAAAGGGACAAACTAGATCAAAAGGACCTGAAAGAAACATACAATAGTGTGGGCCAAGATTTTTTGTATACAACGATTAGACATCTGGTCCAAAAAGCTTAGAAAAAAGACACGGGATCAACTTAAAAAAGATGAATACTCAAATGTCTGACAAAATGAAATTAAAAGAAAATTTTGACATGCCCAAGATGTTTAGAGGAATGAAAACTGATCTTGGTATACGAATGGATCTAAAATGGAACATGGAGTGAGAGCAGGAGAGCCAAAGGCACATACGTTGACAATGTGAAACCTCTAGGCCCAACAATATTAATTTTCCAAACTGAGATCGGTGTAATAGAAGTCTTTGCTCAAAAAAATACTTAAAAAAAGATTAAAATGTGCACAGATATATTGGACTTGTGCAAAAATAGTGCAGGTTTTGAAAAGGCATTCAAAACTATTTTTAATTTTTAATATAAGGTAAATTTTGCGAAATCTTTTCCATCACAATCTATACAGATTTCCGTGTAATAAGCGCTTGTATTCCGCTGACATAAAAATCTTTATTTCCTCTCACAATAAAGTCTTGGGAGGCGTTTTCGCCTTCTCCGCGTTCTCTAAAAATGTATCCCTCAATAAATGATCAATATGCCTAAAAAAAGGGAAAGGTCGGGTGAATATGGAGGGTGCGGTAAAGTTGCATATCCAAGTCTTAAGTTTCCGCTACATGTGGCCTGGCGTTACATGAATTAGAATCGGCCCTCCGGTTTACCAATGCTGGACAAAGACGTTGCAGTTTCCCGTGCATTTTGTCAATTTCTTGGCAATATTTTTCTCCTGTGATAATTTCACCATAATTCAGGAAATTATAGTAAACCCCAGAAGTACACTTCCAAACCGACACCGTAACCTTTTATGGGTGCAGATTTGGTTTCGGGAAGTGTTTTGGCGCTTCATCCTAATCCAACCACTGGCCTGTACGCCACTTGTTATCGTACAGATTCCAGTTCTCATCAGGTGATGATTCGATGGAGAAATGGATCATTTTGGTGGCGCAACAGAAGAGACATGCAAATTTCAAAGCGTCGTTTTATTTTAGCTTCGTATAGTTCGTGCGGTACAGAGCTTTTTTACCAATTTACTCCAGATGACGAACAACTGTGGAGTGGTCAACACTCTTACTCTTCCGCAATTTCCCGTGTTGCCTTACTGAGTTTTCTTTGAGTTGGTCGTCGTCCACGACAGAAGGCCTACCGTGACCTTCCCTCTCTTAGAGATCGAAATCTCTGAAACCATGGCTGCACCGTGCATACGCTAATGCTTCCCTCCTTCCAAAATGTATTGATGTTACGCGAGGTCTGAGCCGCTCTCCGCCCAAGTTTAAATTTGTACAAATAAATTAGACCAAAATCTACTTTGGATTTATGGACACCTATTTTGGATTTCCAAAAATAAGATCCCACGCCAGTAACAATTTAATCTGACGTAATGTACAAAATCAATTGTTTAAATTGTCCGGCAACTTACATCGGTATTACATCCCAATGTATAGATAAGAGAGTAAAGCAACATAGCTATAATTGCAAAAACCCAAACAAAATCCTACAGCACTGGCTACCCACCATTTTGAACACAGAACAAAACAAACATAAATGTAACTTTTT